GGTAGTGGAAGTGGGGTTGCCACCTCCTGGTTATTTGGTTTATCAGAAAATTGAAAACCAGAATGGATCACTCTGAAGCACTGTCAGGCCTGCGGGAACGCGGGGGAGGAGGGTAGCAAGAAGCAGAGATGCCGAGGGAAAGAAGTGATGTGCAGTCCCTGAGAGCTACCAGCTCTTTCCAAAGCGGTATGACAGCACGTAGTGTGGGAGCAGCTGTTGAGGCCCGTTATGGGGGATGCTCCGGCAGGCTGATGCGAATGGTGGAGGAAAAGGGGAGGCAAAGGCAGAAGGACCCCCGGTCCAGCGGTTCTGGTGTCCCAGCAAAACGGGGGCTGGGAGAGCCGGACCACGGGCAAGAGGGACAGAGAGATCTGTTGCCACCTGGAAGCCAGGATCTGGCAACTTGGGGGGGATGGATGGACCCATGGTTCAGCTCTGAGTGAACCAAGCTCCGTCTGGTCCTTGCTCCTTGCAGACCATCCTTACCATGTGCGTGTTTTCTTTAGCTATGAAAGGAGACTTGCGGGAAAGAGATGTTGAAGTTTGGGAAGAGCTCAGCAGCATCTGCATTGCTTTGCTCCAACCCAAGCAACCTCCAAACATCCCAGTCCCAGCAGACATCCCCTCATCCCCATGGGGGTGCTGGACAAATGAGCTGTGGGGGTCCCTCCAGGGACAAGGACACAGGTGCAGAGCTCAGGGAGCTCCCCAGGGGCTGCCCTGCAGCAAAGCCTGGGCAGGGGTGAGGAATGGGACAGGGGTGGGCGGCATCGTGGCTGCACGCAGGGAACAGCCTCTGCCCCAAGGATGGGGGAGATGGCCGTGCCACACCGCACAGAGCCCGGGGAGCAGCTGGGACTGTGCTGGGAGCCGGCTGCGTGTGTGTGTGCTCAGAGGGCGGCCAGAAAACAGGGGGAGGCAGATGAAGGATGGAAGGGAGAGAGGAAGGATGGAGAACGAGAGAGAAAGGTATTTCCAGGAATGCTTCATCCCCTGATGCAATCTCTCAAGTGGGCTTTTGCTCAGGCTCCTGGCACCTCAGTGGTACAGCACAACCTGCCTCTGCACTGGCACAGATCCCTCCCCTGCCTCGGGCATCCCCCGGGGGAAAAGCAGCCTGCGCTCTATCTGGAGGCAGGGACAGAAATCTGTGCCCATCAGCTACTATTTCTGGCTCTGCCACCCAGGAGCTGTGGTCTGTGATGTGCCAGCTCCCAGGAACCATCACCCACCCCAGCACCTGCCAAGCCAGCCCCGCTGAGCCCCTGCCAGCATCACCCAGCTGCTGTCCCTGTGTCCTGTCCCTGCCGTCACCAGCTCTGTGACATAAACCCCTGGGTTTTAGCGTGTCTCCATCCCCAGAGGGAATGAGGATTCTTTGCCTTCGTCACTCCCGTAGGAGCGAGCAGCACCTCTTCTCCCTCCCAGTTTCAGACACTGTTTCCAGCTCGTTTTTTTCCCTTGCGTAATGTCTTGTTTACACCCATTTACCCTCCAGCCCTTTGGCTTCAGTAGCTCCTCTCCTCTGCTGCGAGAGATGATGTCCTGAGGAAAGTCACGTCTCAGGGCAGCCCTAGACCCTTCCTGCCCCTCTGCATGTTCACTCTGCCAGCTCCCCTCCATTTCCAGACCCTGGGAGCAGAAGCAGGGCCAGCTTAGGGCCACCAAGCCGGCCCAGAGCTTTGCTGGTCTTGTCCTATCATCCCTCGCCTGATCTGAAATTTCTTTGAGCATTAAGCTCTGCTACAGACCCAGACACGCAGCCCGGCGGGGCTGGCACTGGCATGCAGTGCCACAGCGATGGCACCGTTGGCATCCCTGTGGCCTTCCTCCCCATCATCATTGTCACCCGTCGGGGACAGAGCCGGGCACAGATCCATCGCTCCAGCACAGCGGGCTGCAGGCCAGGGAGGCTGTGGGCTGATTTTGCCTTTGCTGCCAGCCAATGCAGAGGGGCAGGGTGTGCAGAGGCCAGGCCAGGCACTCCCAAGGCTTTCAGGATCTTTGTGTCATATTAAAAAGGGGAGGAAAAACGTCTCCAGGGCTTTGGGGGATCAGTTCTCACTGTGTGCATCACCCCCTTGGACTGGTCTGAGCACACTGAACCCACCTGCCACCCCCTTTCCCCCGGGTGCTGTCCCTTGCTGCTCTTCTTTGGCTTTATTTTACCAGACAGTAGGGAAATGGGGTGCTGCGTCCCCCGAGCATGCAACTGGCACTCCGCAGCCCAAGGGTGCTCTGGAGCAGTGTGCCAGGCTGTGCCTGGTGGCCCTGGGGACATTTGTGCCCACCCGCGTGCTGCCAACCATCTCTGGTTGCAACCAGGCTCTATTTGCTTCCCTCCACAACAGCAGCAAGGCAGAGCGGTCCTGCGGGCACCAAGCCTCCTGTGAAGGAGGGCACCAGTGAGAACTTGGTGCCTCAGTTTCCCCCTTGGTCTGTGGGAGGGAAGAGGGGTGAGCGGTGCTGCTCCCATCTGCTGTGTGCTCTGGCATCAGGAGGGGGATTTGGGGGTGCAGGACCCCAGGGGAAGTGTCCTGGTGCTGGAGGCCACCGGATGCAGGCAGCTTTTCACGGCCTGGCTGCAGGTGCCAGGCTCAGTGGCGCAGCGAGCTGTGCTGGGGCTCAGCCCAGGTGGGAGCGGGGGGCACAGGGCTGGAGGCAGGTCTCTCCCAGCAGGTCTCTCCAGCCTCCTTCTCCAAGATCCCTGTCCCACCTGCTCGAACCCAGCCCCGCCGGAGGCTCTTCCAGCTCCATCCCGCCCGGCTCAGCCAAACACCTCTGTGCACAGTGAGGATGGTGCTGGGACAGGCTAAATCGAGGAGCGTCCCCGGGATGCCAGAGCCCTTCAAGGTGTCATCCCCGGGAGGGGACCGCGTCCCCTTGGGCCCTGCCACCTTCGGAGGGGATGAAGGGACCGATGC